GTGGCAAATTGTAGCCGTTTCTTCAGGGGACCCTGGGTGCTTGATCCCATGTCTCTCCTCAGTTGGACATTCACTCACCCACTTGCACGCACAAACAGAAACATATTGATTTTTTGCACTCATTCATGCAGAGACTCTTACACTCTAACTGAATCCAACACCATCTTGCCCCCAATCCTCGAGTCTACCTTTTCTATCATTCATCATCCTTGCAGGTCTGAGAGATCAAACCATTTCTCTTACATGAGGAGACAGGGAGAGAGAAAAGGAGAGACATTTATTACGCCTAACAGAGATATACAATATCTTATTTAATCCTCATAAAAAGCTGGAGAGGTATTAACTTTTTTACAGATGAAGTGGTCAAAGCTCAGAAAGGTTAACGAATGGCCTCATCCATTATCTCAGTGCTAATATATAATGAAACAAAGTGACAAATGAGAGTCTATTTGCTTCTGTGTGAAATGATATAGTAACCACAGAATTACTGTTGGTAAAAGGAAGGAAAGTCTAGAGCCATTTTGGCTGGCAATCTTCAGATTGAACACCAGGGATAGGAGGGTTCGTGTCCTCAGAACTAGTGGTTCAAGAATCATGGTTCTGACAGTGAAGAGGTACTAGAGGTGGTTGATCATATCTGGCACCCAAAGAGCTGAGCATTGAGAAAATTATTCCTATCACAGGATGCAGCAGAGACACAGATGTGGATAAACTGTGAAAGAAGTTCTGTTAGGAGTTATTGTTAAAGTAAGGGAGGAGAAGCAGAGAAGCAGTCGTTTTACATATGTGAAATGTAGAGGAAAACAGTGTTAACTAAAATCCCATTTGATTCTAATCAGGTTTGCTTTTTTAAGTAGTGGAAGATGGGATCATTTATTTCAAAGGTGAAATAGCAATCTACATGACTCCTTTAACTTGTGAAGGATGATGCCAAGCGAGAAATGGCACAGTTGAAGGAACCACTATTTGTTTAATAAATAATTCAGGGTTCAAAGAGAGACTCTCAGAGGCCAGGAAGTGCTAAATATTTCGGCATTCTAGAGGTGGGGAAATCTTATCTTCTTTGGATCAGCAGGGGAAGGAAGTATAGGTAGTGGAGAGAGACAGTTGGAAACATGGCAATGTGGCCACAGGACATCAAAATAGAAGACATCAATAAAAAAACTCTATGTCCCGCACTTTGGGAGGCTGAGGTGAGTGGATTGCCTGAGCTCGAGGGTTCAAGACCCACCTGGGCAACTTGGCGAGACCTCATCTCTACAATAAAAATCAAAATGAGCAGGGCGTGGTAGCGCGCGCCTGTAGTTCCAGCTACTTGGAAGGCTGAGGCGGAACGATCGCCGGAGCCCAGCAGGTCAAGGCTGTGGTGGCCGGGAGCGGCCACTGCACTCCAGTCTGGGTGACTGAGTGAGACTCCAACTCAAAAAAAAAAAAAAACCAAACTCTATGCATGAGGCTGTGATACAACCTCTTCCTTCTCCTTCTTCCAATTATTTGTTAATATCTCAAACACTTATGCATACCTGAAGGAGTGGTCTCTTTGGAAATGAGGGACAAGTAGTTGAATTAAATACTAACAAAAGCCGGGCTCGGTGGCTCAGTCTGTAATCCCACGATTTGGGAGGCTGAGGTGAGTGGATTGCCTGAACCTGCGGGTTCGAGACCCGCCTGTGCAACTTGGCGAGACCTCATCTCTACAATAAATCAAAAAATCAGCCAGGCATGGTGGTGCATGCCTGTGATTCCGGCTACTTGGAAGGCTGAGGCAGAAGGAACCATGATTGAGCCCAGCAGGTCAAGGCTGTGGTGGCCGGGAGTGGCCACTGCACTCCAGTCTGGGCAACAGAGTGAGATTCCAACTCAAAAAGAAAATACTAACAAAAAGTCCATCTCATAAAATACACCTGGAAATGTAAACAAGATTATATCCAAGACCTTGTCAACTATAACAGTCAGCAAGGAAAAAAGTGAAGACAGAGATGATGGTGAGTTGTTGATCTGCCAGAGATGAGGGCCATGATGCTCTACAATGAAGCATATTGTCCTAAGCATGAATCAGAGCTTCAGAAGGAAAATACCTTCTATATTATTTTGCCTTCCCCAACCCAAACCAAACCCCACCTATCATTAAGAAATGGAATAGCTGAGGGGAGCCTAAGGGAATGAAAACCTGCTGCTCAGCTCAGTTAATAGAGGAACATGGCAGAAGAGAGTTAGGCTGGTTCTAAGAGTAGATGATGAACTCAGAAAATAGAGAAGGAGAAAACCCAAGGAAAAGTTTATGGAGCCACAGAGGAATTCTATGTTAAATTTTTCACAGACGAAGGTGGAAATGACTCACCTTCAGGTATGATGGACTGGTGGTCCACAAATAAAATGGACTTGGACAGATGGCAATTTGCAAAATCTGGGCTACTAACCCATTCTCATGAGTGAACTCTTCGAGAAAGTATAGTTACACTCAGCATTGGCCTGGCATGTGGGTTCATTCTTATGTAGGTTGGGACTGGAGTTGCTCTATTACTTGAGTGCCCATGAAGTACTATTGGGCACTGAATGAGCAGAATTATATGAAGGAGAACAGGTGGAAAAAGAAAAAAGCTATAGGTGAGGTAGTAGGGTTGAGTGAAGAGTATTTCAGATATATGAGTGTACAGAGGGATAAAACCCCAGGTGTCCCTCAACACCTATGGAAAGAGAGCTGGGACTTGATAAATAGGAAGTGCTTGATTACACCAAACAACTTAATCAAAACTTGGGAAAGCTTCCAAGGAAAATGACAGGTAATGACCCACACTGTGAGTGGGTATTGGATGTGAAGTACTAAATTCCAAACCCTTACTAGTGAAAGACATACAGATGTTTGTGGACATGTGAAGGGCTTTGAACTGCATTAAAATCCAGTAAACAGAGATCTCTGATTTTTTGTTAGCTTCTAGGGAGTCTTCCCATACTCATACCCATACAGATACCCATACTCATACCCAGAGGAACATGAATGCTCCCATACTCATACCCATACAGATACCCATACTCATAACCAGAGGAACATGAATGCAGCAAAATTTATCAGAAAACTGAAAATTCAGCTTGTCTCAGTTCTGCACACCTTGCTGCATAGGCATATGTACGGGAGAAAGCTGGTTCGGAGGGAGGAGCTGGAACCTAAACCAGGCCAGTAAATACCTAGACTGGTGGACTAAACAAGAAAAGCACCATCGCCAATGCGTATATTCACCAGGCACAGAGAGATGCAAGCTGTGGGCTTTTTGTTTTTGCAGTCCCAGAGTTTTGAGATGTCCACTATTTGCTCAATCCCCCGTGGAATCCAGGTTCTCCTCCTGCACATACCTTTGTTCTTGAAGACCAAGACCTGGATGCACTTGGAATGTCTGCTCTCAGTATGCCAAGACTTGCCAGAGGAACCACAGACAATAAAAATCTATGCGGGCTGGGTTAAACATGATCATTGAGTAGATTCCATGTTCTGCTGCTCAACTGTCCTTTATCTCCTGGGGGCAGGTGGCTCTAGAAACCCCAAAGGGAATTACTTTCCCTGCTATGCTGTCCCTCAATTCCAAACATTTTCCATGTAACCTTCTAGATCCTATCTCCAATTTCTATCTCCATCAATGGGTTCCTTGATGCTATGCTCACACAGACCTCTTGAAATCAGCTAATGGAACTGAGACAGTGACAGATGTGAAAAACTTTGCCCAGTGGTTATCAACTACTGGAAGTAATGTAAGCCGAAAATGCAACCGAACCAACTTTATACTATTATGATGGACAAATCCTGAGGATGAGAATACATTGATTATCTTTCAAGCTGGCCAGTCAGATATCTTACACTATCAGCTGGACACATATCCCCAAGATGTTTGGGACTCCACATGGTCTCTTGGCTCAGCAGTAAACACCTTGCTTCATATCTTCTGCTTTGCTTCAAAATATTTTCCTCCAGTTTGCAGGGTCTTGTCAAATCTGAGCCTAAATTGTGACTATTGCTTGTCACATGAAGAGAGCAACCAGTGAAGTTTAGCGAGCTAAGTTGGGAGAGAAAATGATAAATTGGTGACTCATAATACAGACTGTTAGGAACTCCAAAGATCAGTTCAACACTCCACTTTTTATTGTACAGCTCCCACCAGAATGGTAAGGGTAAAACAGTCTGATTCTTTCTCTAAGCAGGGCTTTGGAACAATTATTTCAGAAGTGACTTGGAAACACAGGAAGTGCCATGACAAAGGGTTCAGAACAGAAAATAGTATGGAGAGTAATGATTAGTAGGGGAAATTGTTTCATTGTCCTGTAAGGGTATTTGTTTGTTTGCTTGTTTTGTTTTGTTTTTACCTCTAGAATTAATTGAAGATCCCAGTTTAGATTGGGGCCTGCCAGAGGCAATATTTCTTCCTTGCCCTTCTGAACAGTGAATTCAATCTGCTTTCAGGACAAAGACAACTCTCTCATTCACTGCCCAAACACCTCCCGTTCCTATGCAGACCATGGATAGGTGCTGGGAAACATAAAAATGAACAGAAACATATTCCCAAGAATGACAGGCAACATTTAGATATTCTATGTAAAGGGCTGTTGGAACACCCATATGGCATGCCCAACCGACCATGTAGAAAAAACAAGTGAAGTGAAAAGCCTACCCCCAGACGGAGTGTGGGATTCAGGCAACAGCCCCTATAGTACTAAATGAAGGAAATCAAATGGGCCTAACAGAAGTCATACATATTGAAATCCACCCCTGAGTTACTATTTTTCATGCATTGTATGCCGTACAGTTGTTTACATTTTGACATTTCTGATGCTGAGTGACAGTAATGTCTTTTCTTTCTTGCTGGTGCATAATAAAATGGTGCATGTCAGCCATCTTTGACTTAACTAACTGATATCAGGTAATTCGGAGGTTCAGTGATGTCACTGTAGGAACTGCCATGTGGGGAGAAGGACCTCCCTCTTCCTCTGCTACTGCTCACAAGAACCCTGATCTGGTGAACCTCCCATTCTGCCGTGACCCTGCCATGGGCACGAGGCTCCTCTGCTGGGCAACCTTCTTTCTCCTGAGAGCAGGTGAGTCCTTAGAATGCCAAGCAATATCATCGTGTGTGAGTGATGACTACAACTGCTTTCTTCATGCTCTTTCTAACTTCTGTCTCCACAGATCACACAGGTGCTGGAGTCTTCCAGTCTCCAAGATACAGGGTCACAGAGAGGGGACAGAATGTATCACTCAGGTGTGAGCCAATTGCTGGCCATAACCGCCTTTTCTGGTACCGTCAGACCCAAGGGCAGGGTCCACAGTTTCTGATTTACTTCCAAGATAAGAGTGCCCCAGACACATCAGGGATGCCTAGTGATCGATTTTCTGCCGAGAGGCCTGAGGGATCCTCCTCTACTCTGAAGATCCAGCCAGTAAAGCATGAAGATTCAGCAGTTTATCTCTGTGGCAGCAGCTTAGCCACAGCATGACACAGTCATCTCCTTCCTGCTCACAAACCCTCCCGCGCTTACCTCTTCTCCTTTACAGTTCTTCTGGGAACAGCCATGAGCTGAGAAGTTCTCCTGCTATTCCCTGATCAAGGATAATTAATGCATTTGGAACTTCAACTGTTATTCTGATAGTAGAAAGTCAGGAAATAACCTCTTAAATACTAGAACAGGGAACACCAGGTACTCGTAATGGTGACTTATACATTTCTGGGATTTTTTACGTACAGTTCAAGATTCTATCATTGAGACTGAACAGAGCTTAGGCTCATAGGTAGTGACTAAATATTCTCTTTTAAAACTGTAAAATTTCAGGACATTTATATCAAACTTCTATTACTGACATAAGCCTGACAAAACAGGCTAATGTAGCAGAATAGAGGTCCAAGAAAACAGACCTACACATATATAATGACTGATTTATGACAACAGTGATATTATAGAGTAGTGAGGGAAGTATTATCAGTTAACAAATGGTCACTAACTCAGACCTACATTGTATCAAGGAGTGGACTGGTTTAAAAAAAATGTTAGGACCATTTACAGCCACCACTCTTTAAAAAAAAAGCAGCATCCTTAAAGAAATGTCATCAAAATAAATTATATAAAAATAACTATCACTCACAATAATGCACATGCTCATATTTTGCTTTTTAAAATTTCTTCTGACAATCTTACAGTCATTCTGTGCTTAATTTTCTTCTTCTCCAATCTAACTTAAAAAAAATAAATTCAAATTTAGATTGGTTTTCTAAAATATAACCCCACTTGTGAAAGTGTTAAAGAGAAGTGAGTCCAGCAAAACCTGAATAAAATTATATTGACCATGCAGGATTATTTGAGGTTTCCAAAGTAGTTGTACCAATTTGCACTTTCATGAAAAGTATATGAAGTTTTGGTTGGCATTCTCTCTCTTTCTCTCTCTCTCTCTCTCTCTCTCTCTCTCTTAATTTTTCACTCCTCTAAGGGTGTCTTTTGATATATGGACATTTAAGCCACAATCATTCCATTTTTTACTGTTTTGGTTAGCATTTTGTATTTTGTTTTTCAGTTTTAGGAAATCTTTGCGCATATACACACATGTACATGCATGTACATGCATCTATACACAATAATCATGTTTTCTCATATTTCTTTCTAAAATATTTATATTTTAAAGCTTTTACACTTAGATCTGTAATCTAACTGGAATTAATTATCTGTATATGTTATGAAGAAGGGATCAAGTTCTATTTTTCCACAAGTTTATTAAATTTACCCAGTATCATTTGGTGATAATACTTCCCTCACACTCTATAATGTCATCGTTGTCATAAATCAGTCATTATATATATTTAGGTATGTTTTCTTGGATCTCAATTCTGTTACTTTGGTCTATTTTATCAGTTCCTACAGTATAAAGTATTGTCTTTTATTATTGTGGCTTTATCCACTTCTTAATATGTGATAGAATAATTGCTGAAGCTTTGTTCCTTTTTTAATCAATGGTTCTTGATATCTCTTGACTGTTTTTAATTTTTCATATATATCTTAGAATTAGCTTTCAAAATTCTTCAGGGAAAAAAAAATATGCCTTCTGGGAATTTTTTGCTTTTTGTATCCAATTGACTTACATGCATCACAGAACAAAGCTAAAAATATTGCTAGAACTTCAAAATATTTAGCACCCCCAAAAATATAATACATAATATCTGGCATCATAAAAATCTCACAATCGTGCAAAGAAGGAGGAAAATATGACACATAACAAGGAGAAGAATTAATCAATAGACTTTAACCCTAAAATGAGAATTGGTAGACAAAGATATTGAAACAATTACTATAGCTCTAGCTCACAGGTTCAAAATTTTGTAGAGATGGCAATGACATAATAAGATCCAAATTAAATTTCTAGAGACAAAAGTTACAATGTGATGAAAAATACACTGGCTGGTATCAATTAACAGCAGATAAGAGAATACAGGAGAAAAGATTAATAAACTTGAAGAAGTAATAATAAACAATTTATAATGAAATGCAGAGAACAAAAAAGGTCAGTAATGAGTTGTGGGAAAACTTCAAGTAGCTTAATATGACTGGAGATGCCAAAACAAATTTTTAAAATTTAAATTTCTTAAAGAAAAGTTGTGTGTTTACACTGAAATGATTTCAATAGAGTGCAGAGATCATAATATGTGCAAAAGTAAATGCTACAACAATACAACATAGAGACAGGTAGAGGATAAATAAAAAATATACATATTGGAAAGTTTTCATAACTTATATGAAGTCACTTGAAAGCAGACAATATTAAAATAGAGATATTTTGCACGTTCTAGATCTACCATTCAAACAAGACACAGAGTTAAAGTGTGTAAGCCAAGACAAAACTATGGAATTATAAAAATGCTCAACTAATTCACAAAAGGCATCATAAAAGGAAAAAAGGAATAAAGAAGAGATGAGATCAATAAAAAACAATGAATAAGATAACACAAATAAAACCAAATCAACAATCACATCAAGTCTAAATAGTCTAAGTGTCTCAATTAAAAAGCATGTAATATTAAATATTATTGAATAATATTTTTAAAAACAACTATATGAAGCCTACTAGAATTCTATAAAGACTCAGACAGAATGTTAAAATAATAGAATGAAAAAAGTATCATGCTAAAACTAATTAAAAGAAAGCTAGAGTAGTTATATTAATATCAAACAAAATAAATTTCAAAACAGAGAATATTATATGGATTATGGAAGTCATATCTTAATGGCAAAAGGAACTGTCTATCAAGTGGTGACAGCAATAAAATATCTATATACCTATTATTGGGTCTTCAAAATACCTAAGCAAAAACAGAATTGCAAGGAGAAGTAGACAAATCCACAACTAGAGAGAGCTCTCAATACTTTCCTTTTAGTCATTGGTTCAACAAATTGACAAAAATAAGAACATCGGTAAGGATGCAGAAGACACGATCAGCATCAACAACCAACTGGGCTTAATTGACGTTAACAGTAAACTCCTCCAACAACAGCAGAAAGTATGGTCTATACACTCTAGGACAAACATTATCAATTTATTTAAAGGTATTCAAGTCCAACCAAGTGTATTCTCTGACCCCAGTGAATCAGTAAAATAAATTGGAAGTCAATGAGAAAAATATATCTAGAAAAGTTCCAAATACCTCAAATATTAAATAACAATTGTATAAATAACTCATAAGGCAAAGATAATTCAAAAGATAGGTAAGAAAGGCTATTTTGTTTTGTTTTGTTTTGTTTTGTTTTGTTTTCCCAAACACTGGGGAGAATGCACAGAAATGAGAGAAATGAGGTCATTCTTTTTAGGGAAAAGTACATTGCAAAAGCATTTTTGTCTAGTAATTTGAAATTATACATCCAAAAAATTAACACTTAGCACTCTTTGACCCAGCATGTTGTCTTTGATTAATTTATTTTGAGTAATTTTTACATGTGCATATTTTTTGAGAATGTTCAAAAGAAAAGTGTTTTAAATGGAATAAAAATTCAAATATATTAAAATTAGACAGATGGAGGATAAAGATGGTCAACATGAGGCAGCTAGACTCCTATGAAGTAAACCCAGATGATAGAGTTTTCTCAGCATCCAGAGAAAGTAGGAACAGCAGCATGCCCCACATCTCAGCAAAGAAGCTATAATAACCACATAGTCCAAAGAAGAGAAAAAGTAACCGACTTGAGCTGGAATTAACCAGATTCTCCTCTGGCTCACAACATAGATCACGGGCATTTTCGTATGCAGTGGGGAAGGTAAGTGAGAGGAATTCAGGAGTACTGTGCTCCTACTACTGACTTGGAGGGTCCTCAGTGTCTTACAGGACTTCAGTCCCTCTCAGGAAACTGCCTTACCCACAGCCATACTTTGCCAAAACCCATGTGGAATGGTGCAGGAAAAAAAGCCCTAGCAGCTCCAGAAGCCATTTCCGAGGAACTCAATTCTTGTTAGTGGTTACTTTCTAGTCAGCCTGGGAAGGTACAGGACCCTAATGCAAACTCCATGGTGGCAGAGAGCTTCAGGCTGGGGCAGGGTACTGTGAGAACACCTGAGGTCCTGAGGCTGGCTGCACTTTGCCATTAAGATCACAAACTGGACCGGGCTCGGTGGCTCAGCCTGTAATCCCAGCACTTTGGGAAGCCGAGGCAAGTGGATTGCCTGAGCCCACAGGTTCGAGACCGGCCTGGGCAACTTGGCGAGACCTCATCTCTACAATAAATCAAAAATTAACCAGGCATGGTAGCACGTACCTGTAGTTCCAGCACTTGAAAAGTTGAGGTGGAAGGATCACTGGAGTCCAGAAGGTCGACGCTGGGGTGGCTGTGAGCATGTAAGGCACTGCACTCTAGCCTGGGCAATGGAGTGAGACTCTAACTCAAAAAAAAAAAAAATCACAAACTGCCTGAGGCTAAGGTGGTAACCAAGTTGGGACTTGTTGTTATAGCAACCTCTCATTCCCAGTGTAAACTCCTCAGTGCCTGCTCTGCATAGCATCGTTGCCCCAGTGGCCTGGGACTTCCCCTTAACTTCTGATGGGATGGTCAGGAGGGCACACAGGTGGAGTACTTAGGATTCTCCCCACGTCCCCAAGAACTCCTCTTGAAGCCTCTCAGAACAGAAAGAGAACTTGGGTAATTTCTGGAGCTCCATCCTCTACCTAGATGGATGGACACTTCCTTGGAGCAACACATACTCAAAAAAAAAAGGCCCACAGCAACCACTACAGGTGACTTTCTCCCACAAGCACCATCTCTTGGCCAGAGATCAATAGCACAGCCCACCACATCAGATATAATACCTCATCTTTGGGGAAGGCCTGATTCTAGACCCCAGCTAATGCCACTTTTCAAGTCACTCCAGCCACTCAGGATGCTGTGAGTTAGTGCATGTAACCAACATAGGACTGCCACGGTTGACAATTGCAAAACTGCCACGGTTGACAATTGCAAAACTCATCACA